TAAAAAAAAAAAAAAAAAAAAAAAAACTGGACACAGATCTGACCCTTTCCAGCCATGCCTCTCAGCCTTCCTGTGGCAGATAGGCTTTGGCATCAGACCTGTTTCTGGATTTTCTCTCCTCTCCTCCTTCTTGGCCGTGTGGTGTTGGGCAGACACTGCACCTCCCTGAGCCTGTGTCTTCCTACAGAATCTATAAATGGTGGAAACGGCCCCCATGAGGTAGTAAGTATAAACCCACAGCTCTTGGTAGCCCATGCAGATTCTTTTCAGTCTGATTCCTGACTACAAGAGGGATTTTTTAATGTCTTCCTTTACTTTCTTTTAAATTAGAGAAATAATTATAGAAATAAATATGTTTGTAAACATATAAACAACAATAATCTAAAATCGGGGGTTGCCTGAACCCTGTCCCCAAAGAATCCACTGTCAGGGCCCTTCTAGGTTTGTGTTCACACATCTGCAAGCACACAGAGGCATTTTTGCAAAAATAGCGTCACACCTTACTCTACTTTTCTCACAGTGCCCTGTGTCATCCAAGTGCCCTTTATAAAATTTCAGCAGCTGCATGGCATTCTTGTGTGAATGCACTGTAATTTATTCTACGAGTTCAGAAGACATGGTGTTAACTGCTCTCCCTTCTGCTTTTTCTCTAGGGGTCCAAGTAGGATGAAGCCATTTAAATATAACCATCCTCAGGGATTCTTCAGCCACCGCTGACCTCCTGCTCAGCCAGTTGCTTCTCCCAAGATCCTGCTCTGGGCTTCTGCTTTCTGCTTTGTTCACATGTGGCTCTTAATCGTCGCTGAGAACACTAGCCAATAAAAGTGTCACTTGACCGAATGCCTTTGTCTGTGGCTTCTTGAGGAGGTGGCTTTGCAGTTTGTAAAGTGGCCAGGAAAGTGGGAGTACAAAGAAAATCTGATTGTGCAGAGAGACGCCACCCTCTCATCCACACACACCTTAGTGTTTGTCTGGGGAATGCGGTAGTTCTTACTCCCTTGGTATTTATTATCTTCGGTCTCTGCTATTAAGCTACAGGAGAAGCCAAAGTCAGTAGGGCCTGCTTTCCTTTCCCCTTCTCTCTTCCCACTAGCCCTGTTCCTGATGACCAGGTTCTTTTCGCTCATTGGATGTTTTAAACATCTGACAGTACAATATAAACAAAAGACAGATACATCCCAGAGAGTAATTTTTTTTTTTTTTGGTACAAGGGATCGAACTCATCCCTGTGTTTGTGAGGCAGGTGGCGGAACCACTGAGCCAAATCCCCAGCCCTGCCAGAGTAATTCTAAATCTTGCAGGAATTCAGGTAATGAGAATCATGTGCAGGCCAGCTGGCCAGTAAATAATATCCATGCAGCAGCCGAGAGTGGGACCAGCTGACCTCTGAGGAAAATCTTTGTGGTGATGCCATGGTAAGTGCATCAAAAAGTAATACTTTGACTGTCAAAATATTGAAAGAGAACTCAAAGAAGTCCTGGGAAGATGTCTGCAAAATCACCTCTTTTGTAATCCTGCAAAACTAGAGTGGAAGATGGCAGAGATTATTCCTGGCCAGTTTTATTAGAAAAATTACACTCCATTGCCATGCCCTAAAAAGCAAAATTTGTAACTATGTAGACAGTATGCACGAGGTCCTCAATTCAATCCCCAGCACCAGAAAAAGGCATAAAATATTTAAGAATTATTATATAACTAGAAATATAATTAAATTTGCTAACTCCAAAGCAAGCTGAATTTTACTTCTTGTGATAGTCTCAAACTTCTCCCCACTACAGCAGTGAAGTTAAGTCTCTTGTGAGCATATTTATTCCAAGTGGACTTGTGCTGATTATCGTTGGGTAACAGACCTCTGGAATAAAAGCCATTTCCCTGCCCTCTCAGCTGACCATTGAACCTCCCAGGGGTGAGGAGGATGTGAAGGAGGAGGAGACAGCCCTGGCAGAGCCCTTCGTTTCACAGCTGGAAGCCAGAGCCCAGAGAGCAGAATGGTAGCTGTGGAACCACTGAGCCTCTCCTTCACCTTGGATGCATGGTTCCTTTGAATATGAGAGTTAAGAATCTTCCAGGCCAGAGGTCCCTGAGTTATATGTGAGTCACCCATCATGGGAGCTGGTCAGAGATGCACATTTCCAAGCCCACTCCAAATATTCTGACTCAGTTGACCTGAGATAGGCCAAGGAAATGTATTTTTAACAAACTCCCCAGGTGCAGTTTGCCCTAGTCTGTTTTTGGAAGGCACTGTATTCTCTTCCCTTCCAGACTGTGTGAACAGCTCCCCGCTTTTCCCTTCTGCAACCCAAGCCTCTGGATGCTTCTCTCCAAACAAGGTATCTTTGTCTTTTTCCTGACCTACTTGCCTAGGACTTTGTCCCTGCGGGCATCCCCTTGGTCTGGCCACCTTCAGGCCTCTATCTCACTCCCTGTGTTGAATCACTAAAACAGGACCTAAAAGGCCAGGGGTTTAGCTCAGTGGTGCCTCCGCCTGCCTTGCAAGCACAAGGTTCCGAGTTCGATCCCTGGTACAAAAAAAAAAAAAAGAGAATTAAAATGGGACCTAAAAATAGTTCCTTTTATGGCCCCTGCATTGCAGTCTTTGCTTTTGTTCTCCGTTGAAAGGTGGCCAAACTGACTCGGCACAAAAGCTCATCTCCAGAAGGAAGCGGAGACTCAACTGGTGAGGGCTGGGACGGGGCTCTGCTTCCTAGGCAAGGGTGTCGTAGCCTGTCATCTTCCAGAAGAGGATTTTCTCTTTCTCAGGTAGTGGGCTGAACAAAGGAATCCCCCCGCCTTTGAGGAGAAAGGTCTCACAGCAGATGACGACCCCAGGACAGTCCAGCCACGCATTCCCAAGGGGGCAGACTGAGGGCAGATGCCTGGCTTGGGAGGACCTAGAAGCTTCCTCCTCAGAGTCGTCCGTGGCCTCCCTGCAACTCATCTCTGTGACATGCACACTGCCATTCGCCACACGTGGAACTCAGCCATCCCCCACGTCCCCAGTACTAGAAATTGGACCTAGGGAAAACTGAGCTGCGTACTTGGTGCTTTTTTCTCCTCTCCTCCCTCCGTCCCCCTTTGTAGCTAGGATGAGAAGCACATGCTGCCACACTTGTCTGCCTTTGTAATTCTGTTTACTTATTTTGCAGTACTGCAGATTGAATTCGGGGCCTCACTCGTGACAGGCACGTACTGTACCACCGAGCTATACCCCCGTCTTGCACCCAGTTCAGCCTTGCCTTTTTCAAACTGCCCTCCGTAGTTCTGGTTTCTTGATAGGTTCTGTTCTGTTTTGTTTTTGTCTTCGTTTTCAGGGCTGGTGATTGAACCTGTGCTTCGGCAAGTATTTTACCACTGAACTCTATCCCCAACCCTTTTTATTTTGCGACCAGGTCTCACTGAGTTTCCCAGGCTGACTGAACTTTGAACTTCTGCTCCATCTCGGAGTAGCCGGAATTGCAGCCATGCGCTGTGTGCCAGGCCTTCTTTTCTTCCCAGCTCGACCTTTTCTGTTTTCTTTACAAATCCAAAAGACTTTATTTCAAGGGTGTTCTTTCTGATCGCTCTCGTGGAACAAAGCTAAGAAGACTATCTGTGGAAGGAGCAGAGCTGCCGGATTCCCGAAGGAACTTTGTCCCCGTCATGCAGCCCTAACTGTCCTCTCGTGGTTCCGCAGCCTCTCCAGCAAGAACAGGCATCAACCATCGCTTCCGGGTCAGGTCCCGAGCTAACCATGACTGCAGCCACCCAGTGCACACGTTCCTCTCGTTTCCACAGAGGGGGAAACAGGTTCAGGATTAAATGACCTGTCCCTGTTCATGCATCTCCGGTACTGCTCACCCAGGGTTTGAGTTTAGCACAGGTCTGTTGGGTTCTGTTATTTTTTGGAAGGAAAACATTTATCGGTACATTTTAGATACACAGGGTGATAACGTTTATCATAGGGAATTTGCACCGAAACATGATGTACCCCGTCTCTTCCCCTTTTCTGATCCCCTTGTTCCCCAAAACTCCCTCTCCCCTCCCTATGTACAAAAGCTTTTTTCCATTTTTCCTTCTATTTTCACTTTTTTTGTGTCCCTGCCTCCCCCACCTTGTTCCCCTTCCCCTTTGAGCATTTTCTTCCCACTTCCCCATGTCTATTATGTTTTAGTCCTTATTTCCACTTTCGGTTTCTCACGCCAGAGAATTTCACTGAAGAGTATGGTCTCAAGGTGCATCCAGGAGGATCACTCAGTCCCAGGAATTTGGCACCAGTCTAGGCAATATCACAAGACTGTTTTTTTGTTGTTGTTGTTGTTTTTGTTTTCTGTTATGTTGTTGCTTTTTTTTTTTTTTTTTTTGGGTCAGGGTCTCACTGTATAGTTCAGGCTGACCTTGAACTCACTATGTAGCCCAGGCTGGCCTCAAACTTGTGGCAATCCTCCTGCCTCAGCCTCCTGAGTGTTGGGGTTACGGGTGTGTGCCACTACAGCAGGAGTGTTGAAGAATTTTCGTGGCATAACATATGGTCTGTCCTGGAGAATGCTCCACAGACACTTAACTAGAACGTGTATTATACTGTTGTTCCATGAAATATCTGTAGGTACATTGGTATGATTAATATCAATTACTTTTAAAATTAAAAACTAGTTTTTTATTACTTTATTGTGTTTGCTAGTACAGATGTAATTTAACTTATTTAGCCACTCCTTTATTATAATATATAGTGTAATTTACAGTTTTTCAAAACAAGGTAGAGGTACATATTTTATATTTAAATATTTCTGTAAATACCTTATTGTTTATTTAAGCTACATTCCTGAAAATGGCACACCTTGGCTAAAGAGTATCTAAGTTTTTAGGGCTTTGGATATATTTCATTACATTGCTTTCTAGGAAGGCTTTGTCAAAATTCATCGCAGGCATTTGTCTTGGAAAATTCCAGTTTCTCTGCACACCCAGTAGCAGTCTTACGATTCTTTGACTCTTATGCTGTACACCCTGCTGCAGGTCTGTCATTGCCGATGTCAGTACCCACTCCCTCTTCTCCTGCTGACACTACCTCTGTTTCCCTTTGGGAACCACCCCTTCCAGTCTCTCCATTTCAGTGTGAGGACCTCATGCATTCCCCCAGGTCCCTGCATGGGAAAATGACTCTTGCCCAGCTCATCAATGCCCCGTATGTGTCTAGCCACAGTATGGGCTTCGGGAAGATCCTATGACCCTGCCTATCCAGTTCAGACCGAACCTGGATTTTCCCTGGAATATGAAATAGCGCTTATCCCCAACTGTCCTCCCACATTTATTAAACTGGTAAGGTGTAACCCTGGTGCTTCTGGAGACCACGCGGAGATGTCTTGCCCCAGAAGCTTGCCAATACGAAAGAAAGGAGGTGAGAGAGGCGGAAATGAGTGAGAGCGTGCCGGGGAATATAATGTAAGAGTTTCCCCAGATTATGCCATCTAGTAATTGGGAGGGCATAGTGGGGATCAAACTCAGGACCTTGAGCTTGCGAGGCAGGCGGTGGAACCACTAAGCTAAACCCTGGCCCACCGTCTAGTAATTTATCATCAGCAGCAGTAGTACTTTGCTAGTAGTACTGAAGCTAGTTGGATTCTGTTTTGATCACTTGTGGCAGAAATAAGGCTCTTGAATATGGAAACCTCCAAAACATCCCTTGGGAACCATTGGGTCAGAATTCCAGGAACACTGTTACCAGTGGCTGCTCTGCTCTCCTCCCCTGAGGCACCTGGAGGTGGAAGATTTCTCTGCCCCTCCTCTGGTATTATCTCCTCTGATGTTAGGTGTTTCCTCATGGCTTTGTCTAATGATCCCCAGAGTTTGTTAGCTTGGTTCTGGAACTCACTATGTAGCCCAGGCTGGCCTTGAACGCTAGGTGATCCTCCTGCCTCAGCCTCCTGAGTGCCGGGATTACAGGTATGCACCACCATCCTCAGCTTACTTATTTACTAAAGATTGAACCTAGGAGCACTGCAGCACCAAGCTACCCTCCCAGCCCTATTTTTATTTATTTATTTATTTATTTATTTATTTATTTATTTATTTATTTATTTATTTATTTATTTATTTTGAGACAGGGTCTCACAAAATTGCCCAGGCTGGCCTCAAACTTGCTGTTCTTCTGCTTCAGTCTACTGAGTTAGTTGAGATTAAAGCCTTGTGTCAGTATACTCAGCTCTAATCCATCGTTTTGGAAACAATTTTCCTGGAGAAAAAAATGAAGGCTATTTTCCAGCAACCCAGCTGTGACTATTAGCCAGCTGGAAAGACGTGCTCCTAAAATAGCTCCTTTGCACATAACATTTGTGTCCCCCCGGATTCTGGCTTCTGACAAGCAATTCTTAGCAAACTGACTTGATTGCTTTTTTCCTGAGGTTTGTTCTGTTCTCTTCCCAGAGGGAAGGTGGTTTTGTTTGACAGATGGTTCAAGTCCGGTTGGCACAGGCCATCTTAGTCGTACCAATGCACTGAGAGCGTCCCTGCTTAGGAGAAAGTGGAGAGGCAGCCAGGTGAGGCCCTCCTGCCCTTTCTGAGCTACTTGTGGTCATCCTGCCAATGCTGTCATGAAGTGAACTGGGCTGAGCCTGGGGGATTGGAGCTTCCGATATTCCAAACACCTGCAGCATCTAGTTTTGGGGTGGCCATGTAGTATGTTTCCAAGGAGGACAAAGGCAGGAGGAAAAGAATAAAGAAGAGGCCAATGCAAGAGGATCAGAGTTCGAGACTCGCCTTGGCCACTTAGTGAGACCGAGTCTTAGAGAAAAAGGGCAAGGGATATGGCTCAATGCCAGAGCGCTTGCCTAGTATGCACAAGGCCCTAGGTTCAATCCCCACTTCTGCTCTCCCTCAAAATTTGTATACCTGTAGTCCATATTTCTATATACAACTAATGGAAAAGTATAGCTCTGCTATCCATTGTTTGGATGTGCAACCT